TAATGAACTAATTTCTCAAGAAGTCGCAGAATTTACTCTTATAAAAGTTTATAGAATAAGGTTCCGGGTGTTAGACTAAAAAAGGGACTCGATTATTTAAAACAAAATACAAATTCACAATTGAAAAGCATTTAATACCGTAAAATAGATTCAATATGAAGTGGTCTGTAGTTTTTGTTAACAAACACTTACCGTTCGCCGATTTTATGAGTGACAAGCTCAGGAATAACTCAAACTTCGGCTGGAACCCGAATAAATGAATTTAACGATAGTAAATTTTCTGATAGTTAAACTTCGGCAGTCAATATTTTCACGTATAAGTGAAATTATTCAGTCTTGTAGCACATTATTTACATAAAAACTAGTGAAATTACATGGTTACCCAAACGGAAGTAAAAAGACCAGAGTTTTAGCCTGAAATCCATCAGCTAAAAAATCAAGTATTTTAACCAATTAGCCAAAACCTAATTAAAATACATTTTACAGTGTCAATCATGAACTAACTGCATCTAAACAACCACTGAAAACCAGTATTTACTGGACAGTTATTTAATCCCAGTATAGAGCCTCTCAGCTGTGTGTATCCACGACCACACCCAAGATTACACAAAGGACCTTTATATCTTGTAGTGTGCATTTAACCCTCCAATCACTGAGCTAGTATCAGGTGGCGTCTACCTCTAACTTCAATCAGTTCGTTATATTTCGTCACCGTCATCTAACGTCATTGGTAGATAACTGGCAGACTCATTTAAACTGGCGACAGCTTATCACTGTAACTATGGTGACTGCCTTTCCAAATCGGTAACTAGTGAAAACATGATTACCATCAGTATAAGCGGATGAGGTACCTTTGCAATGTTGAAGAGTGACTGAATTTCTAAATGTAAACTATTGGATGTCAACTCAATGGTCTGGATATTAGATGTTCATCACCTAATTTAAAGGTCGTGGAATTAATCTCTGCCAAGTTTATAAATCGTCACAACTAGATAGATCAATAGCAGTATAAAACACCTGTTTATTCCTTTCTTATTTTTTGTGATTATCTAGTGACAGTCAGTCTACAGTGTTACTACAAAGTTTAACAATCTTCAAAAATTTGTAACTATACGAATTATATTTATATTTTCAGAGAGGGGTTTTGTGGATATTATAGCAATTTAATAGTTGAATTCATGGATGTCGGCTCAGTAGTCTAGAGGTTAAGCGTTCACGCACGAGGTCTTGGGTTCGAATCATGCGAGATGATATCGTGGATGCGCACTGCTGAGGAGTCCCATACTAGGATGAAACGGTCGTCCAATGCATCTAAGTTTTTCCATGGTGGTTTAGTTTCAATTGACTCAACTATTAGAATATTTATATTTATTTGATGTTTTATTATTATTATTATTATTTTTATCAGTATTTTGCATAATAGATTTCCGTAGAAGAAAAAAAAACAATCCATTTTCTTTGATGAATGAACATTATCTTAACATAGAATAAGGTCAAGGATAATTACAATGACAATATTAATTAATTACTTAATTAAATAATTAAGGTGAAACCCCATCAATATACATTGAATATATCTCAAATAAATGTACAATAATGATATTGTTTATTAATTAATTATTAATAATAATATTATTACATACTAATAATATGATTGGAAATACTTATCCTTATTGATATTCTGTTGCATAAATGTAAGATAATAAAAGAACTTTAAGGTGAAAATAAAACAAATAAATAAATAAACAATTGAATTTATAAAAAGACATGATTGTTATTACATTCAATGTTACCGGAGGGGCGGGGAGGTGATGAAATTATTTGAAAAAGTATTGATAATAATAATATAATAAATGAATTAATGAACTTCCAGAATGTTTGTGTTGATAATTGCACTTTTGTTTTCTTGGTAAATAACAAATAAAGTGAACATTAACAGAGTTAAGTATAGTGTCTATTGGGTGAACAATATTATTCTCAATTAAATCTTGGATCGACTTTAGCTATACAGTAATGAAAAGTTGATAGCAATGAACAATTATTTCATCTAATGACACATGAATTAAACTATTAAAATTAATATCATATCCATAAAAGCCCTCATTGATTATAATCATCATGTGCTCACTAGTGACTAGCTTCAAGAGGGATTTCCTGAAGTTCTGATGAAAAGCTGTGACCAGTGGAGTTTAACCGTGTCTGTTGTGAGATAGTAACTCACTGAACACAATGGTAGACAGTGACGCAATTCCGAGGATTAGTTGAAGTTAGATATTAACACCGTCGGATGCCGACCGGCTCAATAACCTAAATATTAGGCGTTCGCGCGTGATACCGACACGTCCTGGATTCAAATCTCACGAAACGGGATCGTGGATGCGCACTGTTGAGGAGTCACATACTGAGTAGAAACGGCCGTCCAGTGTTTCAAAGTATTCCATGGTGGTCTAACTTCAATTGACTCATGAATTTAACTATTCAAATTACTATCATATCCACAAAACCCCTCTCTCGTGGTAACTCTATATCTGACTATCCATAGGGTTATGAGTGAATATTGATTAAGAGTTCCGAAGTGCGACGAGGTAATTGCCTATTGTCTCTTGGTTTTCAATACTTGTTCAACTGTGGTAAATTCTTAATGTAAACCATGAAATTCAACAATCTTCACTAACCTATAATCTGATACATCTTAATCTGAGTTCTTTTCTAGTTTGACGAAATGTTAGTCATGAAAAATGTATGTTTATTATTATTATTGTTGTTTTTATTATTATCATTACAACTTAATGTTAAGATGTTAAACTGATGATGATAATTTTGACAATTATTTTAAAACAGCTACTGTCTAATATTATTGAAATGATTCTATCTTTTACGAATAGGATAAATGTAAATATTTCTGTCTAAATTAGACTACTCCATCTAGTATAGCTCAGAATCGATCCCAATGGCATAGATGTGTGCATTCTCTATCTTCCTTTAAACTGTGAGATTAAAATTGCTTCATGCCTTTCTTTCTACGAACTAATTCTTTCGTTCTGTATTATATCCTTGTACACAATCTTTCTTTTATATATTACTATCATTGAAGTGACTACTTCTATGAATTTGGTATTGATGTTGTTGTGGTAATGAGGTGTAGCAACTTGGAACTAAGATATTGACATAGGTGAATGAAAATAATTGGAATGACAAAGGTTACATATATGCAAAAACAGGTTTGAGGTCATTTGGTGTTAGAAAAAAATCATGAGGATTGGGTGATGCAATAATGAAGTGAGGTTCACAGTCAGGGAAAATAGATTGTGTGATCATTGTAGAGGTAATAAAAGGGTAATACAAGATTCCTGTAATTAAAAGACTGGTAAGATGGGTTGCGTAATAATTGGATATTATTTGAAGAGTTTACATAATTTCAGAGAATTAAATGAATGGAAATGTAAGGATGAAGGATTGGTTTTAATATATATATATATATATATATATATATATATATATATATATATATATATATATATATAATGAGAATTCGGTAAGGGAAGCCCGCATAATAGGGTAAACATTAGCTAAACAAAACTGATGACCAAAAAATGATCCAAATGACTCAAAAAGTGACATTAATAAACCTATTACTACCCTGGAATACCAACACATAGTTAAAGTAACATTAACAGTAATAGTTATTGCATCAGAAGTGATTGAACAAAATTGAAGAGAAAATCACCAATAAGTAGATTTATTTATTTATGCTGAACTGTAAGTCATAATTCATAATAAAATAATAGTTTGGATTGTATGAAAAAAAGGAACGGTAAACTTATATAGTCTCATAAAGTAAATTATTGACAATGTAACCGTAATTGTCTACTATTATAAATAAGAAAATCTTATTATTAGTATTGGATAGAACTGATCTTATATACACTACTATCATGTTCCAGTTCTTTTAGTACAAAAAGTTGCAATTAATTTTTTTATATGTGACAGTTTTTATTTTCTCGTTAATAATGTTAAGGACTGTAATTGATTTGTTTTTATTTTCATATGTATAGTCTGTGTGAATTCCTTTGATATTGTACTTTAATTAGATTTTTACTAAATGATAACACTGAAGGAATTCCGACGGAATACATATATGGAAATAAATACTGATCAATCGCAGTCTTTAACAACATCAATGAGTAAATACGAACCGTCAAAAGCAAACTTCATGCACGTTGTATAAGCTAATGGCTATCTGAACTCACTATACAAGTGGATATTGCATTAGCGTTTGATGCAAAAGTTACTAGGGACCAGTCTCGTTGCAAATATGAACACTCATATGCAGGTATATCCAGATGACGAGTCCCAAAAAGGACGAAATGTGAGTTCTAAAGTACATACCCAGCCACTTTCCAATCTCAATGGTTTTAAGACTTTAAACAATTTAATATTAGCACAAAATTCGTATACCAATATCAATTAAGTTATAAAATTTCATATTACACTAAGTATATATGTCACCGCTGATTTTGATCTGACCTCCATTGGATGTCATGAAATAATCAACTGCTTTTTCATCCTAGCTAAGAATGACTAAGCAGTGTTCAACTAAAACTTTTACAGATATGATACTCAGGACCTTCAGATCATTTAGCGAGAACGCTACCTTTATACTACTGAGTTGACGTTTAACTCAAATTGCGAAGCCATATCATCAGGAATGGATTTTATTCTCAGTAGTCATGGCTTTTTACTAAAACTCTCTGGAACTCTTCTTGAAGTTATTCGCTCTATTATAACATTTTACAAACCATAAATGTTAAAACTATCCTTAATAATAAGTAAAAGTACAGTTCAATTACTTTAAATACAAATTAAATACATGTAAGAGTATGATTCATTACAGTCACATTCTAAACGTCTTGGTAACTAAGCAAAATATTTATTGATAATTCACAACTAAATTATTTTTAAAACTAACATAATATACTAATAACAAATAAATTATTTACTTTTAAAAGTGCTTTTTCTGGTTGATCATGTACAAGGTCAGTAGACTGACGTTTTTCCCGATGATATAAACATTCTTGTGTAATATGTAATGGATTTTCGATTTCGGCGAATGCTTTTTCAGCAATTCGTTTAGATTCATTTAATTTATTCATTTCATTAATAAGTGCATCAATTTCGTTATTTAATTCATGTTTCATATAATTGATATCATTAATTCTTTGACCTAATATTAGAAAAGAACAATGAACATATTAGATAACATTATTGTATTAAAACCTTGACAGCAAACTCTGACACAATGCCTCCTCCTGGCGCTGCTGGGTGATAGAGGCAAACTTGCTGACAAAACTAGACGGTTAGACTAATCCACCACTCAACTTGGGGTTCCAGCCTCGGTGCTCTAAAATCTTGCGGAATGCCTGATTTGCATGCTTGTGCATATGAATTTCATGAGCCTCAGCATGTGTAATTGTGTATGTAGATATACACAGAATGTATGTGCCAGACTCACAAAAAGAAGCAAACTGGAACGTTAGCTATTTATCTAATAAGATGAGAGGCCTAAACCAACAGGTCGAAGACAAAACAAAAAGAAATATTAGCAAATACTGAGAAAAGGTGACCATCAGCCCCCTCTGCTTATTTGTATGCCATGAAGTGGATGAGCAAAAGTCTATGTACCAGTGGTATGCTTCTAATACGTAAGAGGTAGTCAGTTGTAGCAAATACGTTTGAAGGGAGTTATGACCATCTGCTCTCTCAAGTGGAGTAAATATTACCTATATCTATGCCATGAGATGAATTGGTGAAAACTTATGTATTACCGGTAGGTATGTGATGTATACTTGCTCTTGGTGAGACGTCCATGCGCCAAAACCCAGGGATTCCGATTTCCTTGAAACCAGAAAACCACTCAGGCTTAGTCAGATCAGGCTTGAACTGCCCCCTTAATAGCTGGAACGCTACCATCACAGTTAATCCCTTCATAACAATGGCGTTGAATTGAAAGTTTAGATTCACTAAGATGCGTTGGTATTCAGTGAATAAGTTTGAGATAGAACAAGTTCGACCAGCAAAATGTTATGAACGTATCCGAAAATTTGCTTTATTTTTCACAATTATAGAAACAAGAGAAACTGATCATAATGCAGCAATGAAATAAACTTGAAGGAAATTTCTGATTTCTTAGACAAGAACAGATGCAAGAGAAATATGCTTTTGACTTGTGTTCTTTCATTATTGTGTAAAAACATATGTAAATTGATTTGTAGTGGGTCTGAGATATTCCAACAGGTTTCCCTTTATACCACCCATACCTTCACAAATTTGTTTTCATTTCCTAGTCCCTAGCAAGGAAACATATTTTTCTGAATGTCAGGTGGACCAGTTCGTGTCACCGCTAATGAAAGTTACAATGTCTTAATCTAACCACTATTCTGTTTCATTTAATCTGCTTTTTCATAAACTAATAACTTACAACCAGAATGAAAATTATATGACCAGCTATCAAAAACATATTATCCTGACATAACTAATGTAGATAATATGTAACATTTTAATGAAAGTATACCAGCCGATTGATTTCAAAGCATCTAGTCAATAATAAAAAGTCATGATTACCATTGACAACTGGTCGCTGTTGTCAAAAAATAGTTATAAAAAATAAGTGGATAGGTGAATGACAATGAACTTTTGAATGAGACAGCCAGCCAATTAAAATTTCCAAGGGAACATCAAGTACCCCCTTGTACTTGTTACCTGACAACAAAAAATTGATATAAATTATTTTTTAGACACCTGGTTTTAATAAAGAATGATTATACCGGCATTTATCCAGTTGGATAATCACGTCTTATTGATCAACTAAGTAAAACGTTGCTTTTGCAAACGGTTAAATTGGAAAATGGTTACTAAGACAAAGACGCCCATTATTCGTTATGAATGAATGCTCATGAGGATTAATTTGGTAAAACTCTTCGCTTGTGAACTAGCATTGATTTGATTAAGACATGCATGTTTAATACAAGATGTGCTCAACTCGAGTTGATTTATTAAAACCCAATTACATTGCAAAATGGTGATTACCAAGTTCTAAGTGACCGGAATGATGTTGGCAATGTCATCCATCCTTAGTGCTATCAAAATGCTAGTCACATTAAAAGACGTTAAGAGAAGCAATCGCTGAAATAAATTCTGATCTTTCCTCGTAAAACATCACCTCTTCCAGTTAAGGATGTCCAGCGACGCTAAATGCTAGACCTCCAATTTTCCGCCCCATACAGTAGAACTGTCTTAACATTTGTATTGAAAATTCTAACCTTGATGTTGATTGACAGTTGTTTTGAGTTCCAGATCATCTGCGAAGTTTAGATCGTCCAACTGTATCCTAGATGTTCACTGTATCCCGTGCTTCCCTTCGGATGTTGACGTCTTCATGATCCAGTCGATCACCAGGAGAAAGAGAAAGGGTGAGTGTAAGCAACCTTGCCTGACACCCGTTTTTACTTCGAATGGGTTTGTCAACTGTCCTCCATGCACGATTTTGCAGTTTAATTCATTATAAGAATTCTGTATCATATTGACTATCTTCTAAGGCACGCCGCCTGGAGTTCCTCCGGGGGCAACTGCCAGTCACAAGCCCGGATAAATGAGGAGGGTTGAGCATGGGGTTAGCGACCCCTTCCCGTAGAAAACGCCAACATCATGGCAGTCATTTATATTCCCATGAATGTTGGTTTGGGTCCAGTAATAATAATTTATTCAATGTCAAAATCTTAAAATAATAGCTTAATTGGTTTGGACATGCTTTTCACATAGAGATCCAGAAGTTGACATGCTGAACAATCTGCAGACTCTGCGAGGGTTTCGTAGCTAAAAGCAAAGAGACGCTCCGTTAAATAAAGCGACAATTTTACCATTTTATTTTGTATAGCGCGATCTTTTGTAACCCCGCCTGCAGCTCTTCTAGAGTTACTGCTGGAGACTAAAACTCCAGCAAAATGAAACTTAGACAAACAAATCGTATTAATTTGTATATTTCAACAGTAAATCACAACGGCCATAAGGCATTGAAGCTTTATATGTCATAGAAGTATTTAAACTAAGAATCTGACCGAATCGAAGTAATATTATATGGGGTTTCGTTTGACATTTATTTTTCAAGACACTTCTTTGTAGTTTAAAAAAATAAACAACACTAACCAATATGGACTTTTCAAAGCAGAAAAACTTGACGGAACTAAGGTAGTCTGATAGATGCTTTCTGAATCAAAGTCAATATTCAAAAACAAATCCATATTTCTGAGTCGACTGTGTACTTTATACCTCCATGAAATTCCCGACAAACGAGAAATACTATGAAAGCATGTATGTTTATCAATGATAAACGAAAAAATCACATATAACCATACTGAAACTCACCAAGTAGTCTGCCAACTTCCTGTTGTGCTCGTTTAATTCTGTCATCTGCTTCAACTCCCAAACGCTCTCCATTTCCTCTTATATGTTCAGCTCTCTTCATTGCCTGCTCTGAATTTGACAGCCGCGTAAAGTTACCCTTAGTCCAGTCGGCAGGCGTATATCTTGTGTATAAAGCGTTGCGTGCAGCTGAGTATATAGAAGGAATCCTTAAACCCTCAAGTTCATGTAAACCTAGAGAATCTCCAGTAACATTAACAATGGGACCCAGTGATTTTGTTGACTTAGCATCATTAAAATAAGACAATCGGTCTGGAGAAAAATGAGACTTGGGGCGCCATGGTGCAAATGATCTGATATTCCTGTGCGTATAAATAGCTGGATAACTGCCTTCTGTTATATCGTCAAATCTTCCTGAAGATGCTGATCTTGCATATTGCAAAATATCTGGTAAATTCGATGCACTGTGACTCAGTCGTAGTGGTTTTTGAAAATAACGTTCTGTCATTAACTCCATTTGCAGATAATTTGCTAGTAGGATAAGAAACATGATTATTTGTGGTTAACTTCTAATCAATAGCATAGGAACACGAAATTTTAACTCCAACGTCAATGTCAAAAAGACTGAATGACAATAATAATTAAATTCAAAACTTAAAGTGAAATAAATGAATATTACTGTTCTTTTTCTCTTTTTTTATTAAGAAAGTTGAAGGCGAGTAAAACGTACTTTTAAGATAGCCTATTTATTCCACTTTGAAATTCAGCAAAACATACTATAAAAGCTTGTGATGAAAATAGGGATGATTTTCATAATAACTTTGTCAGCTGTTTTCATTTGACATGTAACAAAACAACTCAAAAGACCGAAAAGACGCGATAATAAGTCCGGTGTATAAGGCTGGGAGTAGGGATTTAGTTAGTGACTATAGACCCGTTAGCTTAACTAGTGAGGTTGTAAAACTGATGGAAAATATCATTCGGATATTTATCATAAACTATGTTGAAGGGTATAATCTTTTTTTCAAGGAATAACATGGTTTTTGGAGAGACCTATCATGCTTGACAAATCTTCTCATTGCAAGAGAAGATTGGGCTGCGGCAAAAGGTCTGAATATTCCTGTAGATGTGATCTTCATAGATCTTAGTAATGCCTTCGATAAACTCTCTCATTTTGGTTTTAAATTCAAACTAGAACGTTTTGAAATTCATTATACAGTCACAGATTGGATAAGTAACTTTCTCCATCACAGAAAACAAAGGATAAGGGTTAATGTAGCTCTCTCGTTGTGGGTACCTGTAAAAAGTGGAGTTTCCCAAGGTACAATCCTCGGTTCTCTTCTCTTTTTACTTTATGTAAATGAATTACCAACTGCGGCGAAATCATCTGCTCTACTCTTCGCTGATGACGTAAAAATTTGGAGACCCATACACAGTATGTAGGATAGGATAGTATTACAAAATGATCTTAGCTCATTGGTGGCATGGTTGGACAGGTGATGATGCAATTAAATAACTATGATGATTCGTATCACTACACAATATGTGGATTAGTGCCACCCAAAGTAAGAAACTATAAAGATTTTGGAGTCGTGTTAAGCAATGATCTTAAGACCTTTATTCAATGTAAGGCTGCTGCTACGAAAGACTATAGGGTATTATGGTCTATTCGTAGATCTTTTCAGTATTTAGATGACAAAATGTTTAAATTATTATACCCGATTTACGTGCGACCACATTTAGAATATGGGATTCAAGCAGCGAGTCCTTGTTTCAATTATTAGTCAGATATGCCGGAAAGAGTCCAACAATGAGGTACTAAGATGGTAAAAGGTCTATCGGACCCATCTTATGAAGACAGACTGAGACACCTTAACTTATTTCCGTTATCTTACCGTAGAAAACGGGTTGATCTAATATTGACATCGTATACTGAACGATGACCTTGGTGTTAACATGTCTTATCTTTTACTTCCGTCCAGGACTGATCATTTGAGAGGACATTCGAAGAAAGTTCAAAAACCAAGATCAAATCATTTATGTCTGGAGTTTCGTTTCTCTCACCGAATAGTGAATTACTGGAATTTTCTACCGGAACACGTAATATCAGAACCTTCTGTTGATATATTCAAAACGGGATTGGACCTCCACAGTATTACCAACTTAAAGGATTAATATAGGTCGATAGACCTCCTATCCTTATTATTGAAGACTGAAAAGGTTAGGATAGCTCCCCAGATCAAACTCACGACACATGAAAGTTAAAGTTCAGAATACAAATCATACTTAAACACTGTCAACCCTAAATCTTCGCATTTCTACTTAACAAGAATATAATTCAATTATAAATAAGTTCGAGCAGCCACATATATGCAACCAAGAGTCAGCAAACCGAAAGCTCATCGAAATGATCAGATATCTAGGGATGCACACCTTAGGGAGGGGATTAAATATTTCGAAACCCGACATTTCAATTTCATTGTTTTTAACGTCAGTTCCGGCACAGTGTATTAGTAAATTGCTGAACTAATATTCAGTAGTCACCTGTGAACATAGTATTCAAACGACAATGCATATGCGCATTTGAGTGATTATATATAATCATTCAAATGTAAAATAAAGCGGAAAACGCAGCCATAATTGACTTTGAACATTAAGGAATATAAAAAAATATGTTAGGCAGGTAAAACATGGCAAAAAGATCTTTATACTTAGTAGACCACTTTGAATGAAATTCAAAATTTCAGATTAAAGTCATTAGAAACTTAGCTAAAGTAAGCTACCTAACTCCCTTATATGAGCAGTTTACCATTTCTAAAACGTTTTCACTATATTCAGAAGTTTTTTATCCATTATAAAAGATAAACACCTTATTTCATAGTTCTGATATATGTAGTATCAGTCACTAAATTATTATTCACTTGATATTTATTCGAACAGAGAGAAATATACACTTATGCTAAGCGAGGGGCACGAAGGCTTCTTTCCATATCAGTTCAGTAATCGTGCAGCTTTAACTGCCAGTTTATTTTTAATGATTTATATTAATTGGAAGTCTGAATTATCTTGACCAATTAATCTTTGAAAGTTTAGTACCACTTAAAACATTAAAAACTAAGCGCTTGATGAAGTATCAGTGAATAAAATACTAGGCTTCAGATGAACAGCATTGGCATAATTAAACCTACAGGCAACGTTTGAAAATGAGACTAAATATCTTGTCTGCTTTTACCGCTGTAGCAACTAGTACATATGACCTTCAGTAAGTATAACGTATGAGTTTCAATAAGAAATAAACTATTATTCATCACTTCAAATGTCCCAGTACCCTTTTAAATACTTTTTTGTAATCGTTGATTTGAATCATTTCGACATCGAGGATTTTTAATCCCAACAGAGTGAATGTGACATTGTTTATATCATTAGTAAGTGAAGATGTATTTTGTAACTTTGTTACATTCAGACTGACATATTCGTGGGATTTTCGACTAGTAACATGAGCAGTGTCATCAGACTTCAGCTTCATAAAATTTCGATGATTTCGGGTGCTTTGTAAAATGCCGATAAATCCTTGTGGGAAATAAAATCAACATCTAAAAGTTGTATACTGATGTGATGACAACTACTCACATCCTTGGTAAATAATTACGTAACCACAACAAACACTCCGGATTTGCTTATCTCACAGATTAAGTAAAGCTATTCAAGTGAGAGTTAAAATTCCGATCGGTTATTTGACAAGTAGATAGAAAGCACTTAACTCAGCACACCACGTTTTGAAACCGTCTTACTAAGATGAATGCTCACCAGATAAAAAGGTGAATTTCTAAGACACTTCTGTAGAATCCTAGTCCGACCTCAAAAGCCGTTGAATTATTTAACATCAAAAACTATTTACAAAATAAGTTTGTCATGCCCATCTCCACAGGTTTAGGGCAAAGATACCTAACGATTGTCTGTAGCAGTCCGATCACTCACTGTTTTCTGTTGTCTCGCCATTTTTGCTTCCGTACAGTATAAGTTCCGGTTAATCTTTTTTTGCAGTCTTCCAAGCACTAGGTCAGGAAGGTAAGGCTGATAATTTATTGAGTAGTGTAGCTTTATGTTGACAATAAATAAGTTGGACGTATGTACACTTCTGGATAAACTCTATAAGATTAAAATGTTAGTCAAATGACGTATACAGAGTAGTTAAAAATGTAGTTTAAATCATCGATTCTTCCGAAGTCCTAAAGCAAAATAGGGTAAAAGTATTTCACGCGCCATTAAATGTGCATAGAGGTAATTAATTCGACGCTGACAAGGTTTAGCAACAATTTCATAGAGTTCAGTTTGAAGTTATGCTCACAGTAGTAATAACTTACGTTTATGATATGCACCTAATGTTCATTCGTCACGTTCATATACATAAACCAACATTCTCAAATTTTCACTGCAATGATTTCTAAGCACTGAGCTTGAGACTGTTTGAAACATATCATACATATTCTCTATACTTCTGTTCCTTCGGCACCATAAATCATTTTTCATTACAGCTTAGCGTACGTGATCTATTATACTATAAAGTAAATACACAATCGAAGATCTATTACACCTTGCTTTCACAGCATTCCTTATTATTCATTGGAACATACTTTTTGCAGGCAATTTAGCGCCAAAAATTAGAGTTATATTTTCAGACAATTATTGACTTGCTTATAACCACATGCTAACATTTCTATTTACATCTGCACAAGCACCCCTAAAGTGTCACTAACTGTACTCAAAGTATTACTCTCTTCGTTGCATATTTCCGAACGTTCTCAGAATGCCCTTTGAGTGTAGAAGTTCGTGTTCAGTCTAAAGATACGTTAGGTTCTGGGAAAGCATGAAGAATAGGTTGAAAATCAGCATAGTCAGATAACTCTGAGCCGACGACTTAGTAATAGCATGAAACCCAGTTACATTTATTTATCTGAACAATCGATAATAAACAGCAATAACGCAAGCACAATATCAAGGTAGCCTGAAAGTAGAGAGCAAAAGTTGATAGCCCAAGGTTTCAGGTGCCTTGTACGAATAGGTCATTTTTAAAAATAGGCGTTTCTAAATCAATATCTAATTTTTTACAGGACAGACTTATAGGTGCCAGCAATGCTACACACATATGATTTCTCCTAACATTTTAGCGAATTACTATTTTCATCTTAACATTTGTTAAATCAAACAGATTTTGCCTTGTCGATTGCGTACTTATGGACCTAAACAGGCCTTATGTATGTGTGTATGATAGTGCTAATATCTATCTTCTTCCGGTACTCTTTGCATGACTTGTAATACCAGTCATACCATTATTATCTGACTTCGTAAACTACTGACCTCAAAAACTTCATGTAATCAGCGCATCTTCCGTTTGCTTGTCTGACGTTCATCATTAGTATTTCATGCCTAATGGTAACCCTCGTGTTATTAATAGAAGAAACCAGACTATTAAGGAATAGGTCTTTATTTTGATCTTCGCGCAGTCACAGTGGAGCATGGGATTCTTTGTTCAGACAAACAAAACCTCTCAACATTCAATATAAGATCATTAGAAATATAACGCCTATACAAAATAAAGAAGTGAATGGATATTTGAACTATGCTGTTTTGACATAGGCCTAGTTGCTTGAGGCCAACTCTTACCCGATCGACCTAAGCTGTTACAAGTACGTCCAATCTATGTATCCAAAACACAATACTTGGCACACTTTTGTTATCTACATTGTATCAACGTCATTTCTCTACAGACCTCACACGAAGTAACTTTACTTGACATTACTGTTATTCAATCATTATTAAGTTAACAACTGGTACTAAAAACGAATTCACCGATTCAGAAAACAGAGAAAAGCTTTATTTTCTTCATAAGAACAATGAGGAGCTCGAATGCTTACAACAATTCACCATCGAACACTGTTGAAGTATCCTTAGCAGCCTTTGTGCTAGCAGCCGAGAACCGCTATCCAGGACATCGTCCGGAGAATTTTTCTTCGAATGCTGAATTAGAAAATAGTCTGTCACATAGGATATTGTCTCGTTAATAATAATCACGAACTACCACTAATCCTGGGGGTTAATCATGCTTTGGAGGGATTTTCAGCATTTTATTTCCTTTAAAGTATGTATCCGTATGTCAGTCAGTCAGTCAGCTGCAACGTAGGACCAGGCACGTATATACATCCGTCCAAGTTGCCATACTGCATTAGCACAACAAGATGAACACCGGATTCATAGTAGTTAATTCAGTGGTGGTAATATATAGAAGAAAGAGTGTGTATAAGGAGATAGTAGAGGAAGATAGAATTAGTTCGTAGAAAGAAAGATTTGAAGTGATTTTAATCTCTTAGTTTAAAGGAAGACAGAGAGTGTATACACCGACTCCATTGTGATCGATTCTGAGCCATGTCACCAAGAGTCTCCAACCATTGGTTACGATAGTCACGCGGACCCCAACCAGGCATTTTGCTTTAGCCATTGTATATGTATGCATTGGTCAATGAGATGCAGTGCAAATGAATAGATCTGTGCGGAAGAGTAGGCAATAGAAAACCTAAGCTCAGTATGTATGAACAATTGTCAACAGCTTCAACACTACATTTTGCTGACAGAAGTGATTAATAATGAGTAAGACAGCAGAATTTTAATCGTCATCATCAACAATTTGAGTGATTATAAAATTTTTAAACGATATGCGAGCAATGAATATCTGAAACACTTATGATTTGCATTTTTCCAACTCTTACATATGGTGTAGCTATGTATAGCCACTGCAAAGATATGTGATATTCGATAGGCTAGTAATAAGTTATTGTAAATCAACTGTTTAATTTTCTTTTAGTTCTTCATGTAATAACACGATTGCAGTTCTTCAAAAATGACGATATGTATGGCAAATGAGTGGATTTCCATTCGACCAAATATTAATCCGTAGTGCTGTTGTGTTCAAACTGATGCTATTTGAATTCTCTATAGCCTCTATTAAAATCTTAGACATCCGTTCTTTTCTACAAATAAATCCAAAACAGTATAACTTGTTTAGGTAAGGTTCCAACCATAAAGATTGTGGGCATGAACTATACAAAACAGGTCAAAGAATGACATCATCATGATATGCCCAGGAGAGAATAATCCAACAAAGTGTAGTGCAATCAAAATCTAGAGAACATAAAGTAACTAAGCCTTTAAGGAATATAAATTAGTTTCTAGTTGAATAAAAAGTGCACCTCTGATCACTTATTATGATTATCTCACCGTTACACGGTAGTCCAATTCAATCGACAAAAGGCAAAGGAATTAATATAGCTTCAGCACAATTCTTTGGGAAGTTAAAATAAAACTTACATAGTGTTTAAAGAATCATCAATGAAACGATTAACAAAAAACTGAACCTGTAAGTAGAATGAGTGGCAGTTCCGTCTGAAGCCCAAATATAAACAGAATATGAAAACATAGGTGTCATTATTAATCACTCTACGTTTAAGAGTGAGACAATGTGCTCACACTACATGAAACGTATAGATAGAGGGAATTTCACACAATAACTCAGGAATATTCAAAAAGGCTCTTACAGTTATCATATATCTAATTTTCTTGATATAAGCACACTGGCTTAATACTCGTAGAAGGAGCTGTGCGGTGTATTTTTTTACGATTCATTGTTTACGATGGTTCAAATCAACCCGTCTAAGACGTCTTATTGATTAAAAGAGTAATTTCAGTCTAATAAGCCATCATGTTTATTTCTCCGTAATGATAAATTTCTGAAACAAAATACACCTAGTTTAACCGAATATAATTAGCTTCCAAAAGTGTTTTAAGACATATATTTACATATTTTTATCTGCGTTAATAAGGCCACCAATAAAATTGCCATATGAAACCGTTAAGGAATGTAAAGCATAAGAAACGTTCGACGAATTCTATTTATATCCTTACAATGGATACTCACCATCTGAATCTCCCCCTCTACGGCTGAAGAGGAAACTAGGAAAACATACTGGAAGTGGATAGAACATACATTACGGAAATTATCAAACTTCATCACGAAGCAAGCACTAACTTGGAATCCTGAAGGGAAAAAAATAGAAGGCCAAAGAATGCACTGCGTCGAGAATCGGAAGCGGATACCGAAAGACTGAATGGCAACTGGAAAAGATTTTCCGGTGCAGAGTTGGATGTATAGTGCTGGTAGGCGACCTATGCTCC